CAGCGATCTGTTGTACAGCAGATTTTTGATAGAAAGAAACAACCCATTGCATATCGGCGAAAGCTTATAACCGGCCACAACACTAATAGTAATACTACAATCATGTTCAATCATGTACAATCATGTACTTCAAAGTATGTACCGGTACATGTAGTTCTACAGTCATAACTCATATACATGTAGATATACCTTGTAGCTGCTGCTGCATAGCCCCAAGTCTAAAACAAGTGTTGATCTGTCATTGCCACATTGGTCCACTCTAAGGCGACAATCACGTGACATACGGGAACTAAAACTTCCCGCCTGCACAGCTACCTGACTAGTACTTGGTAGTACATAATTGTAGATAAACCTTGTTCTAAAGGGAAGAGTGTGTTGCTCCCTACATGGGAGCTCGCGGTTTTCCTGCCGACTTGAATTCTCACTTGACCGTTAACATGTTGGTTTGACCTTGTTCACATACTGTTTCATACGTATATAATAATTATAACCTAACCAGTTGATTATATGGGAAATATAAACCTGTATACAAACCGAGGCGAAGCCGAGGTTTGTATATTGGTTTATATTTCCCATATCATCAACTGAGTAGGCTATATTATGCTTATACTGAGCTGATATACAAACTCCCCTCTCCCCCACAAGGGTAGATATTGGAATTCCAACCCACAACCATGGCTCGACGAGTCTTCCTTTCACCAACCTGTGCGGATCAAGTACAAGACTACCACTGACTCTGTGCAGTACATGCAGTGCAGTGCCATCACACACTCTTTGTGACTTCAGTTTAGTACTGAAGTACTAGTTACATCGGAAGTAACCACAGCTATGCGCCAAGTAAGTTAGTTTGAACCTCACACTTGCACTGAGTCACAGTGCTAGTGACCGTTACCGCGCGCAGATCTCACCGCGGGCTCTGTAAAAGAACCGTTTGCTCATTAGAGACATAGAGTTCGTCTCCTTTCCAAAGTAAGAGTAAAATGAATCAGCACGAGCCTGTTGAATCGACTCCCAAACGTTTCTTTAGTTCTTCTGAGGACGACCACGAATCACGATGCCATTATTCAAGCAGCAGTTTCCAAGAACACTGGCAGTGCCACGGATTATGGCTGCGCATGTTCCGTCCGCTCTGCGAGGGACGCGGAAAGGAGAACATCGATTGGAAAACCATCAGTAGTGAAGTTCCGTCGCCCCTGCTATCTGCATTCTATGTCGATGCAAAAACGCAGGAGGAGCGGCACGCGGGGCTCTTCAGCCGCACATGTCGAGTGCTGCGCTTGACAGACGGAGTGCTGAAACAGCGAAAGAAGGACAGCCTCGAACGTCAGGTGCAGCACAAGGCACCTGTTACAAAGGACGACGTTGTATTCTTCATCGTTGACGGGAAAGAGATCCTGAAGTTGGGACCGTCGTGCATGTCGAAAACCATCAAGGCGGACTGCAGGTCACTAGTGTGATCCTAAAAAAAAAGGAGTTTATATACCAGTTTATATACCAGTTTATATACCAGTTTATATACCAGTTTATATTCTCGTCATCGAAGTACCTGTTATATGCAAAATACAAGTCTGGAGTGTTGTGTGGGGAGAGATGGGAGTTTGTATACAAGCTCAGTATAATGTTTCATACTCAGTGTCAAACCAACAACACCTGACTACTTCTACCTAGTACTCAGTACTAGTAGTAGTCTACCTAGCCTCGCCCTCAGCCCTGGCCTGGGCCCTGGCCGGCTAGGCCTGTCCAAAAAATGTGTTTTAATTTGCGGAAAATGGAAATGCAAAATGCACGGTTTTCCAGCCAACATTCAAACAAGAAAACAAGAAATCAAAGGGGAATGCAAAAAAATTAAAAAATCAAAGCCAAACAACTCAAAACGCAGAGAAAATGCATCCGTTGCCATGGCAACCAGAATCTAAAATGGCCGCCATGCCGTGGTGATCACAAAAATAGTGTTATTTTCCTTGTCACACTGTACATGTATACATGTAGTATCCCTGCCTTGCTACAGTCCATTTCAAAACTATAGACGCGTAGGGATTTTGAAATATTTCAAATTTGGCTGGACCTTTTTGAGAATAGTTTTCGGAATATTGCTCAGGATCGCTCCACAATTACTCTCATATAGTTTCTAAACGATTGGCTAACAGACGCCCAATTTGGAAAAAATTATGCACAAAGTGATCACAGATTTTATGTGGTATAGATGCTGGCATAACGGTTTTTGCTAGGTAGAGTCTACGCGTCTACGAGACTGTCTATAGTTTTGAAATGGACTGTAGTCATGTACCTCTAATCATGTCACGTGTACATGTACACGCACTGCATGATCATAATCTTGTCACCCATTTTGCTGACAAGCCTGCAAAGCTAATCATTTTCTCACCATTGCAAGTCACTTGTGTTGTCCTTGCATACTACCTAGTACCTGTACCACACATGTACTACTACTACTACTAGAACACATCTTTGTACAATCATGTAGTTTTACATCATCACACCTGCATGTACATGTAGAACTAAACACCCATGTGTTCGCATTTGTGTGATTAGGAGGCCAGTGCAACTGCCTCTCTCTAAGTCTAGAGTCTCAGCCAAGAGGGACAGTACACATGGTACAGAAGACACCGAAATAGCAAGCCGAACTTGACTTGGTCGAGCTGAAACCTTGGCTGAAACCTTGGAATTCGACCGAAAATGGGCAAAATTCAGAAAAAATGCAAAAATGCAAAATGTACCCCAAAATGCAAAAAAAATTCAGAACATTTTTCGGACAGGCCTAGCCCTGGCGCCAGCGCGTGCAGCAGGACTAGGACAAGACCTACATTGTACTTCCCGGTTCCCGCCTGTATGCACCTGACTACTTGTACCTGGCCCTCAGCACTGGCGCCAGTACTGGCAGTAGGACTACAGTTGTAGGACAAAACCTACATGTACATGTACATATGTATGTGGTATAATAATAAAGAAGCCTTGCTTGGTAGTTAACATGTTCGTGGTTTTCGATTTCGACAGCATGTTACCATGGTTACAAGGTGAGGACGCATAGTGCTCCTGACCAGGGAGTAGTACAATACTGTACTACTCCCTGGTCCTGACTACAACCATAACCCGGTTGGCAGAGTAATACGGTTCAGATGGTCGCAAGACCGGGACTCTGCCAGCCGGGTTATGGCTGTACTACCGGTACTTGTAGTCAGGAGAACATGTCCACCTTTGAGCGGAGTCTCATCGGCTTGCCTGTCAAGTCCCGTGGTCTCTCAATTCCTGCCATTGGGCCTCATGCAGTGCATCAGTGGACCTCCAGTATGGCCTCGGCACGGCCGGTGATTGATTTGCTTCGTCGCCCTGATGCTGACATTGCTCCGGCTGATTTGCAGGCAGAGGTAATCATGGTAATGGCGTTGCGAAATGCCGAACGTCGGTTACGTCGGAGAATGGCTACTGCGGCTAAGGAGGCTCAGGTTGCTTTGCGTCCTGAGCTCAGCCCATGTCAGCGGATGCTGTTGGAGATTGCTGCTGATGCTGGCGTTTCCAGTTGGCTACCTTATGTTCAGGCTGCCCGTTTTGGAGGCATCAGCTGCCTGATGATCTTGACCACGTGAAACTCGGAGTTGCAACACAGCTTCCCCTCTCTCTCTAGATCTCTGGTGTATGATCTACATGTACAGCTACACACCCTGAGACCTGCATGCCTGACCCTGACACGCCAATAATCGCGTTTAGCCCTACGCTAACATAATCATTTCGTCCTGACGTGACCATGGTGACGACGAGTAGATCTACGTGCACTTGGCTAGCCTGACCTCCTGACCTCCTGACCTGGAGCAGCTGCATACACACATACAAGGAGTCATTGTATTAGACAAGCAACACGTTTTCAAACAAACAAGGCGTAACTGTCAACCAACAACAACAATACATGAGCCGGCTGTCTCTGTTCTCTTCTGCCTTTGTGGTAGATCTACATGATTGTACCTCTATCGATCCGGAGGACTCCGCTATTTGATTGTACATAATGTTGCCATTGTAGCGTCCCACAGGGAGTCAGCAACAGCAACAAAGGCAACAACTGCAAATCACCTTGTCAAATGTCACGCTAGGGGAAGTGGAAAGCACCAGATGCCTAGGAGTCGTTGTTGACAATAAGCTGTACTTTGACCAACACATTAACAATGTCGTCCGGAAAGCCTCACGGAAGATCGGTGTACTGCGCCGATCTTTCCGCCAAATGAGCCTGTTTGCCCGCCGTACTTTCGTTGTCGGTGTTATTCAGCCTGATCTAGAATATGCTCTCCCTGTATACCGTTAAAAATAGAAACAAGCTAGCCTCACTCCACCGGCGCGCTGTACGAGTTGCTTGTGGCGCATCACCCTAAGCTAATATCATGCCATTTCTTCACCACCTCAATGTTTCCTCTTTCCAATATATGATCAGTATTTTTGTTCCTTGCATTTTCCACTGTTACTGTATTAAGCCAGCTGTTTGCTTGCAGTCCCTCTTTCCCATCTGTACGTCTACCCGAACTACTCGCGGCTCAACAACTCATAACATGAGTATCAATCGCTATAGATCTATGTCTGGCTTTCTGTCCTTTTCAAGTAAATCGGCTCTTGTTTGGAATTATTTACCAGACGACCTGAAGTCCTGCACTACTATCGCAGATTTCCGCGTCAAATTGGCTATTTGGTGTTGCAGTTTTTGTTTTGGTTTTTTGGTTTCCCGTTCTCGGGGCCTTCGTAGTCATGGTAGTTGTACTTCTGTACTGTTGAGCTATCCGAATAATAAACACTAAAAAAAGAAGAAAAAAAGAAAAAAAGCGTAGAGTTGCTGTCATTTCACTGCATGTGATCACGTGACGGTCTACAATCAGTCATGTACTGCAAAAAAACCCAAAAAACTGCATGTACTGCTCAGGTAGGTGCATGCATGCAGCTACATAAAGACTTCGTCCTTGTACATGTCCTAGGCTAATGGCATTCAAGTTTCGACCAATCACCGACGTCGGCGATGGTCCTAGCACGCGGAATTCGTGGAAAGTCAAACATCTTCGCCATATGAGAAGAAACAACCCCTCTTGTCCAGCTCACTTTCCGGTCCGTGTAGTTGAGGAGGAAGAACTCTTTCGTGTGTCTGTGTCAAGGTGCTGCCGATCGTTACAGTTGTCGGTTGCTTTCCCAAGTTTTTCACATACCCCAGTGCAGTGATCGTGTATTTGTAGGCAGCGAGTTCTGCTATGGCCAAGCTTCAGTCAACCCGTTCCTCTCGTCATTTTATCGCCGCCATTGCTACCACAGCGGCTGCGTTGCTTTTCTGCCTTCCAGAGTTTTGCATGGCAGACGTCTTGTGCCAAGTCGGCTGCTATCCCCCACTAGATCGAGGATGCAATGGCACCACCACGGAGTCATGCCCTGGAGACGTTTGCTTCTACTCGTACTCCTCTACCACCACGAAAGGTACTTAGAATCTACTGCATGCATGCGTGCATACCTGCACGTGCGTAGATGCCTGCGTACATGCCTGCTTGTTTGGGTGTTCTCGGTAAAAGTGTAGCAAGACTCTCAAGACGTTCATGTATCTTTAGTACTTGTCGTGTCATTTTCAGTTCACCGTTCAGGGTTTTTCCAGAATGAAAATAGTAATCGCTCGTTCATGGCAAAGATCACAGATCGCACTTGCCGTGATGTACATTCTTACAGGTCACTACAAGTCACTAAGTACTCTGTGCAACTAAGGTTTTGATCTCCATGTCTTACAGCTCCCACTGATATGCCACTAGATAATAATAAATACCGGGAATAATAAGGCAGATCGCGTACAATATAGTGCATGGACACAGTAAGTACAGGACTACTGATGTACATGTATGAAGTATTGGGTAACACATAGTTCCGCTGCAGTTCCTTGGCTAGAGATCGCCCATTACTGATGGCTGGTTGTGTGTTGTGTTTCTACTCTGTGTGGTGTTGCCAGAGGGCACCTTAATATTGACCTATCAGTGTGGAAATATTGTATGTCCCCAACTCGGAATTGGATGTACGGAGGTACTGAGTGCACGTGCCTGCTGTTGTGAAGGCAACCAGTGCAACGGTAAAGCCATCACCTCTTCAGCAAGCACAGCAACAGCCACAGGCCTTGTCCCAATACTGGCCATCCTCACTGCCGCTGTTTACTTTCTTTTGCCTTGATGACGGTATTTACTCCCTCACTTTCCACTCTCTTTGCTTGCAAGCTAGCTGGCTTGTTTGATTGTTTAATGTAGGAAATATGTTATGATCCGTTCATGCCCAATGAGTGATTCCTAACTACTAGTATGTGCGCTTATCATCTGCTGCAGTTCACCTAGAGTAGTGCAGGGTATGCATGTTGCGTGGGATGAGGTTCTCCACTGTCAGTGTTTCTCTGTTTGTGTCTATTCTGCCGTATTCCTTTCCTTTGGTGGAGTTATTCTGCTGCGTGCGTGACGTTGGTGCATTGCGTTCATGCTTGTCGATTGTCACTATCGGCGTGTTGCATATTGCCAATTTTGTATTGAGTTTTTAGTTTCCCGCGGCTAGTGTTGTTTTGGACGTTGTCAGCACCGTTCAATATTCTGTATGGCCCACTTTCATGGCTTGATTTGATAAACATAAAAAACGTGTGTGTTATTTCTATGAGATGGTCTTTTTGGCAGTTGAGGAATTGGCTTTAGCCATAGAGAAAGAGGGTACGAGGGGAGGATCAATTCATTAGTACTCTTATTTACTCGTGAATCAGAAGATTCATGCCGGTGTACCAGTTCACGCAGTGGATTCAATAGTGCTTGAAAGACGTACATGTAATGCGGGCAATATCTATTCCACTTCTGTAGAGCTCCGTGTAGAGCTCCGTGTAGGGCTGGCAAGTAGGGCTCCTTCCATTGTCCAGACCACTTCGAATTTATGTCCGCAGTTTGCTTTTTTTGTGAACATATCCACACAAACAACTTTGAAACAAGGTAAAGGCTGTAACTTCTCGTGAAAGGGGGGGGGGGTGAATCTGTTACGACCTCGAATTTCTTTTTCCAATTTGGAGGTGAGAATCCATGTTTCATTTTGGCATCTTTGGGCACGTGGGTTCTCCTGTGCCATCACAAAATATGCGGAAGTTGAAACTTTATTTGTTTCTTCATCGATTTCAAAGCTAACGGCAGTCACGCATTTTTCATGTAAAGTACATGTTTCTACTGTGGTGATAGACTCGGATGGATAGCCAAGGATGTAGGGAGTTCAGTCACGTGACAAATCAGCTGGAAACAGCCTTCACGCGGGTCACGGTCATTAGCATGGTAGCGGTGGCACCATGGACTTCGCTGCAGTTTTTTCGAACTGCTTTGTCCTGCTTTCTTTTTCAAAGTTGAAAGTAACAAGACCTCAGCTATCAACTGTTACTTAGTTGGTGCGTTTGATAAATGAGGTCTTCCTGCTCGTTTTGGTGCCGCAACTTGCTTGGGCAACTGTAGTTTGAGCTTTTTGTTGTGAGGAGTGTAGTTTTCAATTGGATTTTTCATCCGTTTGGATCATGGAGGGAGTCCATGGCCAGGAAACACCCACCATCGTGTTCAGCGACCTCGAATTATGTAGAATAGTGCTTTCTTTTCGAGCTGGGGGATCGCTCTTCATCGCGCTTTCAAGACTTTCACCTCCTGGTCGCCCAGAATGAATGAATTTCTGGACCCATTATGTTCAAGCGCTAGGAGTGTTTCAGATGATTTGTTGGCCCTAGTGAAAGATCGCACCTGACGGAGACTTTCGCTATTGCGACAAAGTGAGCTATGATTTTGTATTCGACTCGTCGCCTTGAAACCAGCCATATGTCCTGGTCCCCACAGGTCCAGTCAGTATGCAAGCGAGCTAGCTCCTCCCTTGGCATGTTGCAACCTCACTGCCACCATTTAAATGACCATTGCCGAAAATTGTTCTTTACGTCGTATATTCTACCTATATTTGATTACTGTGACACAGCGTGGTGCGGTCTGTCTCAGGCCCTTGTTCAAACTCTGGAAATACACCAGCGTCTGCTTCTAAAAATCCTGTTTCGCAAAAATCAAACATTCTCCTCCCAACGTCTCTACAGTTTAGCTTCAGTATCTCCCCTCTTAGAGCGACATCAGCAACATCTTTGCATCCTTGTACACATGATCTTATTAGACCTGGCTCCAAAACACTTTGCTAAGTATAACTGGTTTGTGTCCACCAGATCAACACGTCATTCCTTTTCATTACCCCGTGCCAATACCTCCCTGTTTCTGAAATCTCCTATCTTCTCTGCGTACACTCTCTGGTCTTCCCTGCCAACTAGCCTTAAAGCATGCACAGACATTAAGGAGTTCAAGCTTCAGCTTCTTCGTCCTAAATAATCTCACCATTTTCGTCATGCCTCCCCTTGCAGTAGTCTCTTTGTTTCTCTCCTTATTATTCAGTTCGCCGTGGTTGGCTACCACCCGACTTCTCATATATATTGGCAGTCTTCTGACGAGCCAGGAGATGTTGAAATTAATAATAATAATAATAAACCAGAAAGAAATTGCTATGGAATGGTGCTCTGAAATGGATCGCGTCAGTGATTGGATTGTACGCGTATTTCACTCTTGTGCATTTTACATGTAAATGTACATGTACTAGTACATGTACATGATTGATCAACTGTGTGACAGCCGCAGTATAGTTAGTTGGGCATCTGAAGACCAAACTGCTGTATTTATTATTTGTGCATGTATAATACAACCATAACCATCAGTGCTCACTTCAATTTCATAGTAATGGAACTCGTGTTCAATGGATTTAGCATTGTTGCTATGGTGGTTGCTACGGGCGCCGCGCTCATTCTCATTGGTCATCGCTTAATAATAATAATAGTTACAGTTCGCATGTCACTCATGGAAGGATCCATGGGCTTACCTCCCCAACCTCTTTAGCACGACGCTACCTGAGCGCGCCCCACGTCAACACCTGTAAAAGTCGCATTTTCCCATGAAAGTACTAGCTGCTCAAGGATCGATAACTTTACCTTCCCTTGGACGAATTCCACGATCTTGAGCTTCCTGGAAAGGTCGTGAGACGAGGGACAAACTGGTATCAAACCCAGCTCGGAGCGAAACCAAAACCCCGTGCTACAGTCTGGCAAACTTCATCCACGCGCTCGACAGACTTGAGCCGGTCAAAACTAACCAAGCTCAAATATTCAGCTGCCATTTCGGTCTCCTTGCTCGTATCGAGCTCAAATTTTTTGTGAGGACTCACGGGATCCACTATCGTCATTTGAATCTTGTTTCCATGGCAGCAGGTAGCGCAAAAAGGATCCATGATGGAAAATACGCGTTCTGCAGACTGCGCAAAAAAATCGAGTTGAAATTTGCCGTGTCGAGTCGCATATCTCAACAACCGGTAGTCGCATCGCTTCGGCGATTGTTTCTATCGCCAGCTGAGAGTTTTCTCTTGCAGATACATGTTTCGATTGTGAGAATCGACCAAGTATTGAGTGAGTTGCGATAGTTTGAACAAGTCACTATGGACTCAACACGGACCCCACGACTATGAGATGCAGGTTCACTGTACAGTGTACAGCGCGCGTCGTACTAGTACGACGGCCGTGGGGCATGCAACTCATGTGCGTCGTACTAGTACGACGCTCGCGCTAAAGAGGTTTTAACCTCTTTAGCGTTAACGCATCTGTCATCCTAATCTTTCAACGAAATCCAGGCAGAAGAGCCGACAAAAGGCATCTCATTATTGTTAGAACGGTCATCGCTTGCCGAAATATTATATTGGTCAACATTAGGACTAACCAACATGTATTGCACCTATATTGCACCTACTGCAGGGGGTTGGGCTCTGGCCGGGGACGCACAATTAATTAACTACGAGTGAACCCAAGACGGTCCAGCGCAACAGCCGAGGTAAGCAATGCTGACGTCCGACATTTGACCCCGAAAACCGGCGTACCTCACCTGAACAACATCCTGGACGCTGCACTGAACTTATGTTTCCATGTTACCAATTGCAACATTCCACAAATCATTCGTAATTGAAGGAAAAGTTACCCTGAAGCTGATTAAAGAAATATGACTCTGTTTTATTTGTGGAATTCATGAGGTCCGTGAACAAGACTATTAGTATTACCAAGACCAACAGCAACAACGAGAACAACACTAAGGAGAACAACAACAACAACAACAACAACAACAACAACAACAACAACAACAACAACAACAACAACAACAACAACAACAACAACAACAACAACAACAACAACAACAACAACAACAACAATCAACGACAATTACAACAACAACAACTATTACAACAACATCAACGTCCATCAACACCCAGACCACAACACCAACGTGCAGACGGGGTGTTCCGACGTGGTGAAGGCCTACCCATGGCCTCGTCGGGACATCACCAACCTCGTCGGCAGCGAGCACCTTCTCACAACAGTAGTCATGGTGATGACTATGACTGTTACAGCTGACGAGCTGAGAGAAGGACGTCATGGGCAGAAGTTGGAAAAAGCCAAGAAAAAAGAAAAAGAACAAAAGAACAAAAGAAAAAAGAACTATAAATTACAAATAATTTAATTACAGAGGAAGACAAGAAAATAACATCACAAATCCTTTCCAGACGTGATCCCTGCAGCGGCAGCAACGTGAACAATACTACGGCGGCAACACGACGACTTCTACAACACAAAAAAACGAAAATTATAAATATCCTACCAACCCGTAGAGTAACGAGGGTCCGAACCTGGGTTTTCCCAATACGGTTCAGATGGTCGCAAGACCGGGACTCTGCCAACCGGGTTATGGTTGTAGTCAGGAGCACTACGCGTCCTCGCCTTGTAACATGCTGTCAAAATCGAAAAACATGTAGTCTGGTACTGTAGTGGTAGCTACAGTACAGATACAGATATTCTGATGTCCGGCAGACCACTGATAAACCTGAGACACTTATTACCAGGGGAGCAACCAATGATTATGTTCTGATGCAGTATGTACTATGTAGACTGGAGACTGGGGACGGGCGATGAGTCTCTACATCATTCTGTTCGAGATCAACGTCACAGGCAAACTTTCCAAGCCAGCATTACCTTCACTGCCACTGGGTCACAGTGGGTGAAGACATTGTGTGTGTGTGTGTGTGTGTGTGGGGGGGGGGGGGGGGGGGGGGTAGTAGTGCAGTTCGATCCATGGACGAATGCATACCTTGACACGGTCAAAACTACTTCTGTCTTTTCTGTGTCGTGTCCCCACTCACGCGTGCACGTACTACCGCTGTCTGCTGAGCCCATACATGTACGTACGGTATTATACATGTACAGTCATGTAGAGGCGACGGTTTCAAATAGGAAATAGGTTGCAAACCGGAACGGACTCAATATTCACTTTCTCTCTTGGTATTTTGATTAGAAAACATATGTCACAGTGAGACTACGATGTGTTATACTCCGAGCCAAAATTTCATGGCTCTGCGATGACCAGAAGCGCCATATCAAGCAGGTGAGTTTTTGACGTGTTGCTTCGCACTGCGACTTGAGTTTTACGACTTTCGAAAAATCAACTTCTTGTCGCAGGTAAACAGCGGCTCGCCTCTCGACAATAAAGCACCGCATACCAATCAAAACTAATGGAAGCACACAC